CGCACAGCCGTTGCCGGAGAGCGCTGCCTTTTTCCTGGGACAATTTGGCTTTTAAAACAATTACCCGTGAGTACTTAAATTTCGGACAATTGGACTTTAAATAACGATTTGCGAGTAGAAAGGAAAATTGGACTAAGAAATTTACCTCAATTTGGCACTGAAACGGGAAGGTCTAAACAGGAAGTCAGCCTTCCGTTTCTTGTAGATAGATTAAAGCAAAGACATGGCAAACTAGAGTTCAGAAAATCGCTTGTAAAGGATTAACTTTCATCATTTAAAATTGTTGAACCCCCTTCGGAAGCAGGAGAAGAGGGGGGATTTTTTCCGGACTGTTTAAACCTGCAGAAGAGAGTGTAACGCAAAGTAACTTTCCACCGTCTTGATCCTGGAGCGGGGTGTCAGGACTGACGTTCTTTGGGAAGCTCATTGACCAGAGACAAACGTCTTTGACAGATAGTTAAAAGAAGAGAAACATAGTGATTCCATTGTTCCCATTCGCATTTTAAAGGAACAAATATTGACAAAATATCTGAAAAAGGAAACTTTGTTTTTAGATCTGCCTTTAAAAGAAAAGAACAAATAGAAGCTCTTCCCCTAGAGGGAGCCTGTGAAACTGTTACCAATTCTGAATTGGGGAGCTTGCAGCTGCAATAGATTACGATCGTGGGAATAGACTTCTGACCTTGCAGAACAATGTATTCAGAAGCTCTGCTGCGTGCTTTCTGTAAAACAAGTGCCCTACTGGAACAGCTACATGAGAAGACGGACTTGATGACTGTTGCGATCAGAAATTTTGGACAGGTAGTGGGAAACTATATAGAGCCCACCCAGGAATCAAATCAGGAGTGTGCTCTGACAGAACAGATGAGGGAAGAGGATGTTGCTGAACCTTGGGCGCCAGAGATGGAGGGAGCTGTGGCCCAGCAGGAACATGAGTTCTTGGATTTGACAAATGAACTTGGAAAAAGCCAGATTTGGAAAGATAAAGTTTGGTTTGGTTTGGAAATGGGGGGTTGGATAGACCCCCATATGCAGGGATGTTTGGACTTTTCAAGTCTAGCAATGGGCCGTGAGATGTTTGGGGTTGTGGGGACTCTTAATTCTGGAGGGACTTTGAAACATGTTTTTAAATACCACATGGAGTTTAGTGTGGACTATGGAAAAGGGGCTGATTTGTCGAGAAGGGTCAAAAACACTGTTAAGTTGGAGTTCCCACGAGTGAAAGGAGCAGGAGACAAAGTAAAGTACAGGTATAAATATGAAGAAGAACCGCGGATGGGACATGGAAGGGACTTAAGGGCCTCGGACATAAGATTACCAGGTTAATGCGCTAGATTGATGAGATAGAAAGGACTGACAAAACCCGGGACCAGGAGGAAGAGACGCTGGATGAAGATTGGAAGAAAAAAAATATTTTTTATTAGGATTGTTTTATAAAATTGATGAACGTTAGAAAAATGTTGGAACGAAATTATTTGGCTTTAGTAAAAATGTTTAAAGAATCATGTAATAATATTTTGGTTAAGAGAAATTGGTATAAATAAGATCTAAGTTTTAAGTTTTAAGGTCTTTTATAGTAAGATAAGATTAAAATAGATTAAGGTAATGTAATGACAGAATATTATGAAATATGGAAAGGATTTTCTGTGATAATTAATAACTAGGATACAAAAAAAGGGAGGAGTGAGGAGGTCAAAGAAAGAAGGTAATGACAGTTAAGGATTTGAGAATATTGGATTTGTTTTTAAATGTTTGTGGCATATTTTTGTCTTTTGATTGTGTTGTGTTATTTTTTGATTTTGATTTTTATCAATTTGTACCGTTTGATTCTGGTTTGTTTTTCCTTTGTTTTTTCTCTCTCTCTCTCTCTCTTTTTTTGTAATTTTAAAATTCTTAATAAATATCATTTAAAAAAAAAGGAGATTCTTCCCCAGAAAGATAATTTCATTCTGCCCCACACCTCCAGATCATTCTTTATTCCCTTCCAAACCGGTATATAGTTATTTTGATATAAATCAATATTTTTAGACGTTAACCAAATTCCCAAATATTTTACCTTTTTCACCACCTCTATCTCTGTTTGTTGCTGCATTATTTCAATCTTACTTTGTTCCATATTTTTTGCAATCATTTTGGTCTTTTTCTTATTCAGTCTAAATCCGGCTACCCTTCCGAATTGTTCCATCTCCTCCAATACCCCTTTTATGCTTTCTATTGGTTCTTCAATGGTCATTACCAAATCATCGGCAAAGGCTTTGACTTTGTATTCATTCTGCCCTACTGTCACCCCTTTTATTTGTTTGTTTTGTCTAATCACATTTAAGAAGACTTCCAGAACCATTATGAATAACAATGGCGAAAGTGGACAACCTTGTCTTGTTCCTTTAGATATTTTTATATCTTCAGTAATTACTCTGTTAACTATCAGTTTTGCTCTCTGTTCTGTATAGATTGCCTTTATCCCATTGAAAAATTCTTTCCCCACCTCCATATATTCTAAGTTTTTTAACATAAACTCCCATATAATATTATCAAAGGCCTTTTCAGCATCCACAAACATTAAAATTGCTTGTTTGTCATTCCTAGCTGTGATGGGATTATGAGCTGCTTGTGCGTAAAATCGTATTCCCTCAGAGTTTGTTCAAGTCCACAAACCTCTGTCTGTGACTGAGCCCCTCTGACATGGCTCCTCTAGTCACTAGAAGATTCCGACAGTGGTTGCTTTCGTAATCGCTTCCAACATAAAAGCTCCTTAACGGAAACACGTCTTCTGGACTCTCTGCGTGACAGTTTCCGGCGAGGAGTGGGTGTCGCTACAGGAGGTCCGGAAACCTCACCACTGTTTTCGCTGGAAGTATCTCTGAGCCATCCCCCCAGCTCCCTTTCCCTCAGTTCAGCTTCTCTCCCCTGCTGGTTTCCTCTTCCGCTGCTGAGTCTCTTCCAACCTGTCTGAGCCCTTTCACCTCCCTCAGTTCAGCTTCTCTCCCCTTGCTGGTTCCCTCTTCAGCTGCTGAATCTCTTCCAACCTGTCTGAGTCCTTTCACCTCCCTTCCTTCCGATGGCAGTTCCCTGACATCCACCTCCCCCCCAGGGCCCCCTTCACCCCCTCTCGCCCCCTCCTCTACGGGCGGTGAGGAGGCAAAACCCCGGAATGAACTTCCTTCATCTTCCGATGTCTCGAACACTTCTCTCCACCTGTTGCGGTTCCTGGTCTCGAAGCACTCCTCCTCCTCCGAGTCCATCTCCCCTTCCCCTTCCGATTCTGGGAATCCTTCCAACTCCTCCTCCTCCTCAGTGGTCCCAAAGTATTCCCTCCGGAACCTCTCCACAGGCTGAGGTTTCCGCGGGAACCTTTGATGGAACATTTCTATCAATACCTCGTCATTGATATCTTTGGCCATTACCCACGTGTTTTCTGACTCCGGTTCTCCTTCCCACGCTACCAAATACTCCACCTGATTCCCCTTCCACCTGGCATCAAGGATTTCTGCCACATGACTGCTGCATTCTCTTTCTTCTATGACCGGTCCCGAGTGGCCATCCCTTCTCGTCCCCCCTCGTACGGTGACAGTAACGACCTGTGAAATACTGGGTGCAGTTTCATGTGGTTGGGTAACCGGAGCCTGAAAGCCACTGGGTTGACCTGTTGAATGACCTCAAAGGGACCCAACCTCCTGGGTCGTAATTTCTTACAACCTCCTTTGAACGGCAGCCCTCGGGTTGACAGCCACACCCTATCTCCAACCCTTATGGTTTCACCTTCCCTTCGGTTCTTGTCTGCCTGCCTCTTGTATTCTTCCTTCGCCCTTTCTAAGTTGAGTTGGAGCTGACGGTGGATTGCTTCCATTTCTTCTACAAAATGCTCGGCTGCCGGTACGCTCCATCTCTCCCCTTCTCCCCTGGGAAAGCCCTGGGATGACACCCATAATTAGCCAAGAAGGGGCTCATCCCTGTGGACACATTCTCGGCATTGTTGTAGGCAAATTCCGCCAGCGCCAACTTTTCTACCCAGTCATTCTCTCTGTCATTGACATAACACCTCAGGTATTGCTGGAGGACACCGTTTGCTCTTTCCGCCTGCCCGTTGGTTTCAGGGTGCCGGGCAGTCGAAAAGTTGACCTCCACCTGCAGTAAGCTCATGAGCTTCCTCCAGAACCTGGAAGTAAATTGTTTTCCTCGGTCTGAGACCACCCTCAATGGCACCCCGTGCAACCTAAAAATGTGTTCTACAAATAACTTCGCTGTCTCTTCCGCCGTGACTGCATGCGAGCAAGCTACAAAGTGGCACATCTTTGTTAGTAGGTCTACCACCACCATGATGGCTGTTTTCCCTTTGGACTTCGGCAGATCAGTCATAAAATCTATCGACACTGCCTCCCAAGGTCGTTCTGGTGTTGGTAAGGGTTCTAATAGCCCCGCCGGCGCCCGCCTTTCCCCTTTGGCTCGCTGGCACTGCTCGCACCCTCTTACATACTCACGTACATCCTCCCTCACCTTAGGCCACCAAAATTCCCTGGTGACCAACCACATGGTTTTGTGTTGCCCAAAATGCCCGCCGTGGGGCTGTCATGCAACTGCTTGAGTACCCTCCCCTTAAGTCTCCTTCAGGGATATACAGTGCCCCTTTGTAATACAAAGCTCCATTTCTTTCCTCGAAACCCCTTGATTCCTCTCCCTCATCCCTAAGACCTCTGAGCTTATTCTGGGCGTATTCATCATTCTCTGTTTCTTCTACCAGTTCTCTTTGTCCCACCAATGCCGCCCCACACACCCAGCGGTCCTCTGGAATGACATGTCTCTCTTCGGGTGCTCCCTCCCCTGCCAATATTCAGGTTTGCGTGAGAGAGCGTCCGCCCTAATGTTCTCTGGGCCTGGCACGTAACAAATCTCAAAGTTAAATTTGGAGAATTCCTGGGCCCATCTCACTTGCCGTTGGTTGAGCACTCGTGCCGTCCTCCAATACTCTAGGTTCTTGTGGTCAGTGCACACTTGCACCTTATGTTGTGCGCCAATTAGCAGGTGCCTCCATCTCCGGAACGCCTCATGAATGGCTAGTAGTTCTCGGTCATACACCGTGTAGTTCCTCTCGGATTTGTTCAGCTTTCGCGAAAAAAAGCACACGGTCTCCACTCTGACTCCTCCTTCCCTGGCTGGAGAAGCACCGCCCCAACCGCTCTGTCTGATGCGTCAGTTTCCACTCTCATCGGTTTTTGTAAATCCACATGCAGGAGCTGTTGTTCCGAGGCGAAGGCCCTTTTAGTTCCTCAAATGCTTGCTCCGCCTCCTCCGTCCAAACGAACTTCTTCTTACTGCTGAGACAGTCCGTAATGGGCGCCGTCAGGTGGGCAAAGTTTGGGATGAACTTACGATAGAAGTTCCCAAACCCTAAAAACCTCTGCACATCCTTCCTTGTTTTGGGTGTTTTCCATTCCAGTACCGCCTGGACCTTGTCGGGATCCATGGCCAACCCCTTGTCAGACAGGCGATACCCCAGGAATTCCACCTCCTTGGTATGAAACTGACACTTCTCCAGTTTCACCCACAGCTGGTTGGCTTGCAGCCTGCTCAACACTTCTCTGACGTCTCTCACATGCTGCTCCTCATTCTCAGAATACACCAACACGTCGTCTAAGAAGGCCACACAATTCTTGTAAAGCAACGGCCCCAGGACGTGGTTCATAAACGATTGAAATGTTGCGGAGCCTGCTTGTAGACCGAAGGGCATAACTAAGTATTCAAATGCCCCTAAAGGGGTGAACATGGTGGTTTTCCATTCATCCCCCTTCCTTATTCGTATCAGGTTGTACGCCCCCCTTAGATCCAGCTTGGTAAAAATCTTTCCCTTCCGCACCCTTGTCAAAATGTCGTCAATCCTGGGCATCGGGAAGGCCACTGGTTCTGACACTGCATTTAAGGCCCTGAAGTCACACACCAGTCTCGGCTTGTTCGTGTTTTTGTCCACAAAAACACTGGGCTGCCCCCACCGCCCTGGACTCTCTGATGAACCCTCTCTTCAGGTTCTTGTCAATGAACTCTCTTAGCTCCTGCATCTCTCTGTCTGACATGGCGTACAGCTTGCCCACAGGGAGCTGTGCCCCAGGGAGCAAATTGATTTGACAGTCAAAGGCTCTATGCGGTGGTAGTTGGTCAGCTTCCCTTTCGCTGAAGACGTCGCGGAGATCTGCGTATTGTCGTGGTACCTTCACGTTCTCCGTCACTTCAGTCCCTGCTAGAGTGGCTTGGGCCCCTGCCAAAACCCTTCCCTCTTTGCAATGTTCTAAGCAATGTGCTGACCCAAAAGAAACCACTCTTTGATGCCAGCCCACCAGCGGATCATGTAACGCTAGCCAGCTCATCCCCAATATAATGGGAGCTCCTCCCAAGGTGGCCACATTAAATGCTATTAGTTCGGTGTGCCTTGCCACCTTCATTATCATTGGGACGGTCTGCAAGCTGACTTCTCCTCCCAACAGCTCCCTGCCATCGATCGTGGTTACCTGCAGGGGGTTGCTTAAAGGGAGCGTCTGTATCTGGTGTTCAGCTGCAAACTCTTTGCTCATGAAATTGCAGGAGCTGCCTGAGTCCAACAGCGCCTTTATCTTTAGAGGGTGTCCGTTTGGCAGCTCTAGTGTCACTTCTATCACTAGGGCGGGTTTAGGAGGTTCTGGAGTGGGCACTTTCACTGCTCTTTGGCCTGGCTGCTGTGCCCCGACAATGGCAGCCAGGCGTTGGCTTTTAGTTGCTCCGGTATTTTTCCTCTCTTCCCTCCACAGCTCCCACCATCCCTTGCCATTCCTTCCTCTGGGGGCAGACTCTGGCAAAGTGCCCTGGCTGTTGGCAGAGATAGCATTTCCGGGCGCCTTTTCCATCCTTCTTTCCCCCTCACTGGGCTTTGAAACTGCGCGCGCGCGCGCTGTTCCGATTTCCATCGGCTCTGCCGGCGGGACAGTTGGCTCTGGAATGTCTGGAATGCGGAACTCCTTCCAACGTTCCCCTTTCCCTTCCCGCCTCTCCAATGCTCTCGCCTCCTGGCGCGCTCCTATGGCCAGCGCTGATTTGGTCAGCTGGTCCATAGACTCCGCCCTGGGCGCCCGGGAAAGTTCATCTTTCACAGCCGAAGAAAGCCCTTCTTCAAAGAGCATTTGAATGGGTTCCGCCGATAAGTCCCACCCCAATCTGTGTATCAGCATGGTGAACTCAGTCCAGTACTCACGTACAGATCGGCTCCCCTGTTTGCAAGCCATTAACTGTCTGCGCACCACTCCCTTTTCAATATCGCTGGAAAACATCAGATCCATGGCGCGAAAGAACTTCATCGTGTCCTTTAGGACGTCACTATGCGCTGCCATCAGGGGTCTCACCCAGTCTCTCGCCCCCTTTTCAAGATGCCCAATCACAAAAGCCACTCGTGATTCCTCATCAGGGAAATCATCAAACTGCAGATTGAGGGCATATTGCATTTCTGTCCGAAAGCTATGATAGTCTTTGGGCTCCCCCCCCAAATTTCTGCACCAATCCTGGTACCTTTCTGGCGAGCTGGGTGGCTTTCTCCCTTTTGTCTGCATCTTGAGCCCTCCTCTCCTCCAGCCTCGCCGTCTGCAGCGCCAGCTGGACCTCCAACACCCGGTACCTTTCTTCCAGGCTTGGACCCGCTCCAGCCCCTGCTTCTCCGGTTCCTGCTGGGTTGCTCATTATGCCTTCTCCTGCACAAGCTGCGTTCAAAGACTGTCGGAATGCTGTGATGGGATTATGAGCTGCTTGTGCGTAAAATCGTATTCCCTCAGAGTTTGTTCAAGTCCACAAACCTCTGTCTGTGACTGAGCCCCTCTGACATGGCTCCTCTAGTCACTAGAAGATTCCGACAGTGGTTGCTTTCGTAATCGCTTCCAACATAAAAGCTCCTTAACGGAAACACGTCTTCTGGACTCTCTGCGTGACAGTTTCCGGCGAGGAGTGGGTGTCGCTACAGGAGGTCCGGAAACCTCACCACTGTTTTCGCTGGAAGTATCTCTGAGCCATCCCCCCAGCTCCCTTTCCCTCAGTTCAGCTTCTCTCCCCCTGCTGGTTTCCTCTTCCGCTGCTGAGTCTCTTCCAACCTGTCTGAGCCCTTTCACCTCCCTCAGTTCAGCTTCTCTCCCCTTGCTGGTTCCCTCTTCAGCTGCTGAATCTCTTCCAACCTGTCTGAGTCCTTTCACCTCCCTTCCTTCCGATGGCAGTTCCCTGACACTAGCAGTCAGATATTCTAAGACATTGATTATATTTCTTATATTATCTTTCATTTGTCTGCCTGGTAGGAAACCTGCTTGATCTTTATGTCCCGCAAAAATCTTATAGTCCGTATTCAATAGTGAAATAGGCCTGTAATTTTTAACTTGAGTTAAATCCGAATCTTGTTTTGGGATCAGTGTAATGTATGCTTCTTTCCACGTTTCTGGAATGTCTCTTTCTTTTAGAATATTATTCATAACTTCTCTCAGCGGGATCATCAACACATCTTTCATTTCTTTATAATAACTTGATGTAAATCCATCAGGTCCCGGAGCTTTCCCTCTCTTCAACTCTTTTATCACCTCTTTTACTTCTTCTTTTTCTATTGGGGCATTCAGCTGGCCTTTTTGTTCTGTCGGGATCTTCTGCACCGTTGTGTCTCTTAAATATCTTTCTATTTTCTTCATATTGTTCCTTTCTTTATTTCTATATAGTTGTCTGTAAAAGTCCAATAATCCTTTCCTGATTTCTTTCGGATTACCTGTCTCTTCACCATTTATCCTGATTTTATTGATTGTACTCTGCTCCTTTCTCTTTTTAAGTTGTCACGCAAGCCATTTTCCTGATTTGTTTGCGAACTCAAAGTTTTTCTGCCTTAACCTTTTAATATTCCATTCAACTTCTTTATTTATTATCATTGCAAATTGGGTTTGAAGAGTCTTAATTTCTTGCTTGATTTTTAAATTATTTGGCTTTTTGATCAATTTTTGCTCATTGTCCATAATCTGCTTTAGAATTTCTTTTTTCCTTTTTTCCTTGTTTTTGTTCTTCAATGAGTTCTGCTGGATAAAAAATCCTCTCATAACTGCTTTGCTTGTGTCCCAAACTATATTCATCTTAGTACCTTTATTAATATTATCCATGAAGTATTCGGATAATTTCTTTTGTGCTTTTTCCACGGTCTTCTGGTCATCCAACAAATAGTCATTTATTCTCCATCTGAAAGTTCTTTCTTCAAAACCTTTTAATTCCATTATTATTGGGTTATGGTCTGAAATTACTTTGGCTTGTATTTCGATTTGTTGGATTCTTGGAGTCAATTCATTCGATACCCATATTTGATCTATTCTTGACATTGACTGATTCGGTTCTGAGTAATAAGTAAATTGTTTCTCCAATGGGTGCCTAAGTCTCCAAATATCAATCAGGTTACAATTCTTAGTCATCATAAAAAATGTCTTAGGCAATTTCCCTTATTTATTCTTTACATCCCTTAGTCTGTCCATTTCCAATGAAACCACCCCGTTCATGTCTCCCGTTATTATAATTTTATGATCCATATATTCGAATAGTTTTTCTTCCAATACCTTGTAAAAATCAGTCTTATTTCCATTTAGTGCATAGATCCCGACAATTATTATTTTTTCACCTTGCCAAGTGATTTGAACTGCTACGATTCTTCCTTCTTCATCTTTAAATATTTGGTGAGATTCAATTTTGTTTTTAATATATAAAACAACTCCCCTTTTTTTCTCTTTGTCCGAAGATATGAATTCATTCCCGAGTCTTTTGTTAATCAAAATTTTCCTGTGTCTTTTTGCCACATGTGTTTCTTGTAAACATATAATGTCCAAGTTTTTCTTTTTTAAGAATTGTTCAACTTTGTTTCGTTTCTTCTTATCGTTCATCCCATTAATGTTCCAATTCCATAATTTTAACGCCATGATGCCTTCCAATTAAATAAATTTAATTTGTTTCTTTATAACCTATCTACCTCTTCTTCTTCTTCTTTCTCTTCTTCTTCCGATTTCTTTCCATTCTGTTCTTCTTCCTCTCCTGATTCAGACTCTTCCTTGGATCCTGCTCCTCCTTCTGCTCCTTTTACTTCTTCTTCTCCCCCTTGTAATTCCTTGTATCTTCTCGTAAATTTCCCTATTTCTTCTGGACTTGTCAGTCTTCGTTTCTTGCCTTTGTAAAAGAACGAGACTCCCTCCGGAAATTCCCATCTGAAGTCGATCTTATTTTTCTTAAGAATCTGCACCATTGGTTTGTATGGGTCTCTTCGTTTCAACAGCCTTATTGGTATGTCTTTGAAGATGATTATGTAATTCTCGTCTATGTATAATCTTTTATCTCTATTTTTCTGTAACATCAAATTTCTCCTCTCTCTATCCTTGAATGTAATTAAGCAGTCTCCAGGGAATTTCCTTACTTTGCTTGTCCTTACTTTCATTCTAAATGCATTTTGTACTGTTTTTGCAACTTCTTCCTCTGACATCTCCAACCACTGAGCAATTTCCGTTATCAGTCTCTCTCTTATGTTTTCATTCTGTGTTTCCGGCACTGATCTCAGCCTCAAATTCACTTCCCTCTGTCTCAGCTCGTTCATCGCAATCGCATCTTTAATTTCTTCCTATGATTTGTTTATTTCCACCATCTCACTCTTCATCCTCTCTTCCTCCCGTTTTATATCTCTTATTTCCAATTTTGTCCTCTTCTACCCCTCGTCCACTCTTTTAGATACCTCTTTTATCTGCCCTTTTAGTTCATTAACTGTCTCATCAATTTTTTTGTCCATTTTTCCAATTTTATTATCCACTTGTTCTAATTTTGTTTCCAAATTTTTCTCACTTTGTTTTATCTCTGCAAACATTTTCAATATTTCTGTTCTAAACTCTGTTTCTTGCTTTGAAGTTCTCCTATCTGTTGGTGTCCCCCCTTCTGCCCCTTTTATCGATTGGTACGACATTTCCTTTCCCAATAATACTCAATTATATCCAATAAACAAAACAAATTTCTCCAATTAATTATTTGAAAAAAGAATACAATAACTAAAAATAAAAATACAAAAAACAATTGCTTAGTATTACTCCAAAGTTTTAAAGGGCAATGCAGAGGTTAATAGCAAATAATAACTTTATGAATGGAAATACTTCCCCTTTGACCACTACTGAACGTATAGAAATAGTCAGTTTTTATAACAATTTTTTTTCAATAAAAGCCAATCTTCTTGCCCCCACTCGGGCTAATCCTCAATTAAGTGCTTTGGATCCCCTCTTATATACCGTATTTTTCGCCCTATAGGACGCACTTTTTCCCCTCCAAAAATGAAGAGGAAATGTGTGTGCGTCCTATGGGGCGAATGCAGGCTTTCGCTGAGGTGCGCACCGACACCTCTCGCTCTCCAGGCTCCAGGAAGCTATCCGCAAGCCTTGCGCACCCGGGGAGTTCCCCAGCCGGCTTGCAGGAGGAGCGCCACCGGGGTGCCTTTGAGGACGCTCAGTGTGTTGGCAAACCGTGCGCACCAGGGGGAACTCCCCCCCGGGCGCGCAAGGCTTGCGGGCAGCAGCCTGCAGTGCGGAGCACAGGGCGCCCTTCGGAGGATGCCCCGTGCTTCACGCGGGTGTCCGCAGCCTGCCGCCCGGCGCGTGGGGCGCCCTGAAGCAGAGCGCCCCTCGTGCCGGGCAGACATCGGCCAGCCCCACAAGCTCGGGGGACAGCGGGGAGGTGCAGCGCCGTCATCCCACTGTTCCCCGACCTGGTTTTGGGGGGAAAATAAAGGGAATTCCCCCCCCTTTATTTCCCCCCCAAAAAAGTAGGTGCGTCCTATGGGACGGAGCATCCTATGGGACGAAAAATACGGTACTCCATCCACCAAGTGAAACTAAACACCAAAAATGGTTCACATAAAAGTGATGAGGTTGTAATCCAAATTGTAATCCAATAAACTTAGGTTATAATCCAATTGAAATATCCAATAATGATTGTTTCCCAAAAAGGCAGGGGAAAAAATAGTTTCCCCCCCCAAAAAAAAACAAACCAAAGAAAAAAGAGTTTACTGTAATCCAAATAGTTTTGATTTATTCCAAGTCTTTAAATCCAAAAATTAATTGTGCTTCTGTTTAATAGTCCAAGAGGTTTGTAGGAGACATGTGACTGATTGAGAGGATGAGGTTTTATAATTTATAGTTCCATACAGGATATCCCACAGGAAATAAGGTAGAAAAACAGGGCGTAATAAGTAGGTAACCAAGCAGGGGAAAAAAAATATTCCTCCAATTCAAAACAAAGAGAGATTCTGAAAAACAAATTGTAATTTCTCATTCCATCCACTAGGGAGCTCCAATCGACAGTTAAATAATTTTTATAAAAAGTTATAAACTTGCCGGATTTAACTCAAATTTTTAAAAAGTCCAAAAAAGAACCAAAATCAACTAAAAAAAAAAGTAGAAAATAGATTAGTTCTTAAATCTTAAATCTTTCTCTGTCACTGTAACCTTTTTGTTAAAATAAAATGGAGTCGGAAGCTCTTCTTCTGGCGCAGCAACTTTATCATGAAAGTAAAAGTGGGAAATCAATTCAATTCTTCTATATCCTCCGTTTCATCTAGGACCTCTGCTTGCCTCAGTAGTAGCCTTCTGTTCCCCCTTAATGTTTTCACCTCTTTAAGTCCTCAAAAAGGTTACTTTTAAACTTTTAACTTAGTCTCTAAAAGTCTCTAATAGTTAGGGAGAAACGGAAACAATAGCCACTAGCGGCAACTCACTTTCGCTTTCTGGCTCTGCTTGCGGTGCTGCGTCTACGCTGATTCCAGATGACAGCTGAACTCGGAATCTTCTCCTTTTTTCCCCCGGAACTTCCCTTAGTATTTTCCCAATCGAATTATAAATTTTTCAAGTCCGAATTTCTTGATTTCGAGAGCGGAGCGCTGTTCCTTGCAAGCTCGGGGCTTCACTATTCAGCTGTAGCAATGGCTTCCTGATAGCCTGCTATCCCGTTCCGCCGCACTCTTCACCTCTTTCTGAGGCTACCTGGCGGCCGGACGGGCAGCTTTTAGGCACTGCTGGGAACCTGAACCTCTGGACACCCACCAGAGGCTTGGCAGGGGGGTTATTTCACCCTAAACCCCCCTTTTAAGGCCAAAATAGCTAGGGTTTCCCTCCCGGAGAAATCCCTCGCTTGCGTCGGACTCGCGCTCCACCGGAAGTTCCCGACAGGGAGCAGTAGTTAATATTCTC